ATGGGGCAGTAGAGTAAGAAGGTCGAGGCGACAGTGAATTAGGTAAACCTGGCTGCTATCTCCGCTTTACGACTAATACATATGCCGGCAGTTCAATGGATGGCGGTGAGACCACCCAAGGTACCAATTACATTTGCTAATTGTGTTTTAAGAATAGATTTTAACTACCTACCTATGCAGGACAAATATCTCAATGATATCGACCAGCGTATCCCCATTCGAAGGCAACTAAGATAACTTACTAAATCGATGACGTGAGGAGTTGAGGCGGAGTTCGAGGGGTTTGACGCGAACACATCGAAGACAGGGATATTTCCGACAGAAAGGATTAAGTGAGACACCGACAAAGGGTGGATAGAGGCTAAGTAGTTGCCGATACGTCTGGGTGGAGGGTCAATGAGTTTTAGTTTGGTTGCCTTAATCGACTATTCAAGCATGAGAGTTTTTGTACGGCAATATCCGTATATATAAACTCCACCCCAGACGACCGAAGGGAAGAAAGTTTTGGATCTAATGGGTTACTTTACTCTAATGGGTTACTTTACCCATCACGATGACGCGAACGGCAGCAAATTAATGTTTTAGGATGTTGTGAGATTGTCGCAGAGGAATGAGTTGTAGTACATAAGAGCGAGCCAGGTTGATAGTCGAAGGAAGCTCCATCTGAAATACGGCACACAGAAATATTCTCCGGTAGGTAGATCTTTTAGCGTACATCGCAAATGCCCACGCGTCTGGAATAAGGACAAGGTTGATTAATTAAGATATTGATACACGTGTGATAGGTACCGGGGACCCTACGGTGATCCATAACTACCATGGGGTCGGTTTATTTAGTGCCAAAGTAAACCTGGTACGGTGCTTCTTTTCTAAAGCTAAAACCTGACAAGAACCCTACAATCCATCTTGGCGTTAGCTTCATATGTTTGCTAACCAGGTTCTTGTGGAAACTTTGAATAAGGCAACGCCAATATCCCTTTTCAATAGGGTAATTTTTACTTAGTCTAATGTGATCAGGCAACATATGTATGTAGGTACCTTATAAGAATGATGGCTTCTAAATGGATACAATACTGGAATTGTTCCTATTCGCCCCTATGTAAGGAGTTCTCTTATCACAGTTACGACGTAAAACCACTTTGCAACCAATAATTTATCCCATATTATCCCAGTAGCCGAGGAAAGGACTATCATTACTCCTATTGTTAGCTGTCGTGAGATGGCTCCTTAGGCTTAGGCTAGGCTGCAGTTGTAGGAAGGTGGTTGGAGAACTGACCTTCATACCGAAAAAGTTTCAGTAACACATTGGTAACCAATTAACCAATTGCGAGGAAGAAGCGTTCTCCAACCGATTGGGTTGTGGAATCGTTACATCTGTGCCTAATAGTACAACCTCTCGAGGGCTGGTGAGACAACATTGTCGATTTTCCGGCCGAATCAGGGACCCGTGGTTTCATCCCGACGAGAGGGCAGCTTCCGCACGAGCCCAGGATGGGCTATGAAATGTGAATATCATCGGTCTGCCTGTTGTACAGAACAAGCCGGGCGGTCTGGTGAACATCTCCAATTCCTAGGGCTGAGGATTATTCACAAGGCAAACAGCAGAGATGCCGGTAGATTCAGCGAGGCTACAGCCCTTACTGAGCTGTGGTGCGTATCGTAGGTCAATATTATGCGAGCGTTTCTATTGGGATATGTATTGCTGACTGGTTGCAACCATGCTAAGTAGGCTCATCGTTAGGCCGGAATGCCTTAGTACAACGTGTATATCAAATAATATATGCAGCAACAAACTAATTTAGATTAGCACTACAGCCTAATTCTTACTTATTAATAGTAGTAGTTACTACTCCCCCAATCCATAGTAAGACCAGCTCATAGAGACCAAAATACCGATGTTGCCCTTGTTCGATTACTTGTCTATTGCTAGACACTTTAGATCTGCGGTACATACATGTGTCTGTTCCGTAGCCTGCTCCTAGCGTAGTTGCTAGTTATCTAGCCTTTAATAGTCCCGAATAGCTTCAAAAAGGGAACAATCGGTTCTTTGATGGAGTAAAATAGCTCCCAGCTTCAAGGGGCTGACTCAAGCGTTGCGGCGTAGATCCCCATGTAGAGGGACCTTTGGTGTAGTTTGATATGTATTATTCAACTTCATATATGATATGTCTATAGACTTGTCGTCTATAAGCTATAATAATACAGCAAATAAGACCCCATCGACACCCGTGCGCTACCCGCTTAAGTCAGCACTGTTGTGCGACGTTGGAGATAATATCTCAAAAGGTCGACGTGCAGCTTAACTTCAAACGGTACAATAGTTCAATCCGGAACAACTACAACAGCCACAACCTCGATTTTGAGCGTCATGGAACAACCCTTCAAATTTATCCCCAGCTTACAAGGCTCCCCTAGTCTTCTATAAGGTGGAAGGTGTGATATTATCCGGAGTACTATTAAAAATTGTAATAATGTAGGTAAATTTTTACTATTTAAGGACCCAATAAATCTATCATAACCCGCCGTCGTCTATTCTTAACCCGTTACCGTCAGTTCAAGTCGTGGCTAGCCTACGCGTATGCACTACACTTAACCCGTCTCTATCTCTATTAGGGACCGGGTTAATAAGTATGCTACCACCAACAAGAAGACACATTCAATTAAACCACGATCTAGAAAGAGGAGAAATGACATCGAATTTGGAGTTTGGTATTGAAGAAGATATCTATTGCTCCGAGCCTACTGGGAGTGGTACGACTACATAAGGTCTCGTGGCTCAGGACGAGTCTTACGCTAAAGATGTCTCTATTCTTTCCTTGCGGTCACAAGATCAACATTCTCATCCATTAGATATACACGATGGTCAAGCTCGATATCATCCGATCCGCGAACGCGGCACTTGCCAACTCGGCGACAAAGCCGTATGTGGCTGTTGTGGCTGGCGGCACGGCGGGGATTGGTGAGAGTGCGGTGCGGGCACTCGCCGCAACGTTTGCGGATCGCGGGGATCGGGAGGAGAATGTGCTTCGCGTGCATATCGTTGGTAGAAATGAAGAAGCCGGACGTAAGATCGTTGCCGAATGCTCGGAAGTGTGTTCACGGGGGATGTTCCGATTTCATAAGGGCGACATGTCGCTTCTAAGGGAGGTCGATCGCGTCTGCGCTGATATTACTCGAACCGAGCAGCAAGAAGCCAGCGCGAGAGGTGGAGTGGCGAAGATTGACTTCTTGGTGAACTGCCAGGGAGTCTTGTCTCTCACGGCTGAAGGTACTCCTTGAGCCCTATAAACCCTCGAAATTAAGAAACTCAAAACAAACACGCATCTAATTGACCCAGTTAACATGGGAAATAGATACCAAGGAAGGCCTCGACAAGTACTACAGCCTGCTCTACTATTCGCGGGCGCGCTTCGTCGAAAGACTACTTCCACTCCTGACCGCGTCTCCCGGAGCCGGTCACGTCGTCTCGGTACTCAACGCAAGCATCAAGGAAGCACTTGTACTCGACGACCTCGCGTTGCGAAACCCAAAGAACCAGAAGTTTCAGACTGCCTTCGCGCATCTAGTCAGCTTGACCAACATCTTCTTCGAAGAAGTTGCGCGTCGCAACCCAGGCCGGATAGCTCTCTGCCACCAGCACCCGGGCTACGTGCCCACCGACATTGCGTTGAAGAGCAACTTCCCCTGGTGGCTCAAGTTCCTGATAACCTACATTGTCAACCCCTTATTTAGGCCTTGGTGGGTACCGTTCGAAGAATGCGGGCAGAACATCTTGTTCATGGCTTCGCCAGCGAGGTTCCCGGCGCGAAGACCTGAAGATGTAAAGGACAGTATGGAAACGCCGTTGGGAAGCGTGGACGGCGTTGAGCCGGCCGAGGGCATGGACGGAGATGTCGGAAGCGGGGCGTATAGGGTGAATAAAGACGGCGACACGTTTCCTAAGGGAAAGGGATATGGCAAGGTTCGCGAGAATGGCACTGCGGAGAAGGTCTATCAGCATACTATGGCCGTATTCGCAGAGATCGAGGCCGGTAGAGTGTTCAAAGGCTAAACGTGATTCGCAGTCTGGTCTTTTCCGCTTTCATTTTTCCGTTCTTGAATATCGTCTACTCGGGGACTGGCGATTTGACGGCATGTATTAACATAGTAGATTTCTTGAAACGCAAGTTGCTCATAGGAATCAACTACTATCCATCGCTTTGGCGACTATGACCACTAACAGAATACGCTATTAGAGTAATGGGATATTAAGTCCTAGAGCGCAATCAGGGAAGTAGACGATTTACCGCGAAACGGTGTTAGCGCCAGTAACCTCATCTCGGAACTCTGTTCCTAACTAAGAGTAATTTCTTCGTCGTCATATGATTGGCTAGTATAATAGCCAATCGAACAACCCAGCTTAGGCCGTTTCCAATAGTAGATCATTCCAGAGTGGTTTAAAAGTTGGAATATGTGAAAGAAGGCACACATCGGAAGGATGAGAGTTGATATAATGGTTAACGCGCGTAACTCTACGTTTGTCGAATCAAAGCCTGCAATAGCTGCAGAACGTGAGGGGTTGGACAGTATTAACATTTAGTCCTACTTTCTTTCTACTTACCTTTGCTAGATGGTTTAATCAATCCGTGTCTTCCGAGGGCTATGAGGTAGAAGTTTGATCAATTGCGTGAGTAACGGGTGATAGGCCCCAGCTCAATGTTCACTTATTAATGGGAGTGGTACATAGATGAATATATTGGCTATCAAGTATTAATCCTGGTTTGATGGCTACGTTCGGAATGACATCATGCCATTAAATATCATGATTTATAACCTTGTATCACAAAATATGCATCGGCCGTATAACCTTAGCTGTCGAACCAAAATGATTCTAATCGGTATACGAAATGAAATAAAACAGAAGACTAACCACGCTATATTCAATATAGAAATATCAATGGCTTATATGGAATATAATCCTCAACTTGACCTTGTAGTATAATGTTATCTTTTGTAGAGATACGGAATCTCCAACTAGAATTTCACATGTAAACAAGCTACAAAGTCCCTAGTTAATAGTTACATACCCGCTACCAAGCACTTAGGTGGTGGAGAAAACGAAGGAGACTTGACCCACAGAGCTAGCGCCAATGACTGTACATAGGTATTTACTTGGATTTCCCTACGCTTTGGCATACGCATTCTTCTAACGTCAAGGCGTTTCGATACCTACCTTGGTTTGGGTAACCTCCCCCTCATGCAACAACACCCTTTAGAAACTAACCAACGTACATCGTAAAGGAGGGGGGATGAAACTTCATCGTAAAAAAACACGCATGTAGGGAACTTGTAGTACAGGTATAGATGTGAAGATCCTGCCATCACAGCCCGATGAGAGTGGTGATCGAATCCTGCCTAGGCACCGAATGACTCACCCTCGTACAGCCCAGTCTCAGCTACGCAATAATATGTCTTAAAAAGATCGCTCACGAGAGAAAATCACTCTCACCATCCATCATCGACATCCTACCGATTAGGTATATCGCGCAAAATTGGGATACGGCATGACATCAAAGAAACCTCTGCTATTGGATGGGCGAACGGGGGAAGGCGGCGGCCAGATTGTAAGGATAGCCTGTGGCCTCTCGGCGGTAATATCACGACCTATCCGCATTAACCATGTGAGAGGAAATCGTCCAGGGCAACGGGGAGGTGGTTAGTGCTTACTCTAAGTATCGCCTCGAAAATACATCTTGTCTAATAAGTCGGGTACAGGCTTGAAGGCACAGCACGTAGCGGCCATCCTATGGCTAGCGGAAGCTACGGGAGCTGAAGTCGATGGGTTGGAGGTCGGCAGCCAATCTCTAGAGTTTAGGCCATTGCAGCCTCCCACCACACTTCAGGGGCGCAAATTCGAGATCGTCGCCGAAAGCAGTGCCTCAAGTACTCTGCTTATCTTTCAGGCAATCTTCCCTTTCCTCTTATTTGCAGGGAATGACACCGGAGAGCCTATCGAGCTCGAGATTCACGGTGGGACAAATGTGGCTTTCTCATTGTCATATGAGTATTTCGATCAAGTCTTGTTGCCTACCTTGAAGGATCGTTTCGGCATCGCTGTTGAGAGACAGTTAAAGAGGCGATCCTGGGCAACAGGCCCTCTCAAAATGGGGTGCATTTGGCTAAGACTCCAGCCTCTTCCCCCAGGAGGAGCCTTGAAAGTTCAAGAGCCATGGGACAGACCAATCACCACGGAAGACTTCAAGCTCAAGCAGGTTGACGTGAGCATGCTTGTGCCATATGCTCTCCAAGTACCACTCGAGAAGGCCCTTGCGAGTGATCTTAGCGAACTATTCCCTAATGTGGATATTAATTTCCTATTGTTGGAAGACAGCGGGCATGATGCTCGTATGTACACTTTGCTAGTAGCTCACTCCTATACTGGTCTCCGTTGGGGCCGTGATTATCTGTATGATAAATCCCGGAAGAACAAGACGCCAGAAGCTCTGAGCATAGAAATATCGCGGAAAGTCTGCCATGACCTTTTTGATGAGATTACGATCCGCGGAGCCGTTGACGAGTACCTACAAGATCAGTTAGTCGTATTCCAGGCATTGGCAGACGGTCGGACAAGCTTTCCTCGAGGTACTAAGCCAGCAGATGCAGAAGGCAGTAGTCCTGACGATATAAGCCATCTCGAGACATCTCTCAAGGACTTAAAGTTGGACAAGAAGATGAGGAAGGATAAGACGCATGAACCTTTTGGAGATGGGTCCATGCACACTACCACAGCCAGATGGGTAGTGAGTGAGTTGCTTCCCACGGTTCAATGGTTTAATAAGGGTACTATTGTGGATGGTGCCAGTATATCTTTTCCTTAACTGAGCGGCATAATATCTCCTATCATAGGTAGCCAGCCTCGCCCGATTTGTTTAGAGTCATGTGACATTACCAACCTGTATAATATATATTATTACAAGGATTGCTGCTTGAAATTGTTCTTGTACTACTATCAATTAGTGTTAGAATATTATACGTTTCCTGACTCGTTTTACATACCTATCAGCAGTCCAACCATTCATTTTAACCCTCACGAGAGAAAAGAATCATTAGCTAGGTAGGTAATAGGTTGGATACCCTTTCCAGTATTCTAGGATACATTGGGTACTTCACATTTTCGATTGCTAGTATTAATCAATGTTCTTAGACATCAGTCTTAGGTTCTTCGGTGTTAAATTTCAAATTTCTTTATGTTGCCTGGCTGCTTTGACTCGCAGCAAACATAACACGAAACGACAATCTTACACTAGTTACCTGTTAAGCTTCTATATTCCAAACATGAATTAAAAATGACACCAATAAATGATAGCTTAAATGAAGTAAAGAATCATGATTTACTTGTAAAATCGTATTATGTGATTCTCTTTTTTCTTTAAAAAATGTTCAATGTTGTTTTTGATTAGACTTTTACAATGTGAACCATAAACCAGATCATAACCTATATCGAGAAACACTTATCGACTTGTGGCAATTTATCGGGTATTATAACGCAATGCCTATTAATAATATTGATATAGCGTATGAAAACTATCTTCTTGGCTTATAACTAATCAAATTTATTCTTACTATGTACCACTTTCCACCAAACAACAACAACACAAACATGCACCGCTTTTATGAGAAAAGCAAAGCTGTTCCTAAGTTTCAGTACCTTCTTAAGGGACCAATCAATTATACTTGAATCCTTGTAGCAAATGGGTAGCTATTAGAAGTATCTTAAGCACGTGTAAAACCGAGATACGACCCGTCAATGACAGAAACGAAACTATACCAAAGGCGGGAAACCAACTTTATTTTGCCTAAACCGATAGCGACGACCATCAATATTTCGCACCAATTAACAAATCCCCATAGTCTTAGGACCCGCAATCCCCTGATAGACCTGGGGGAAAGTTGGAGAAGCGGAGTTTTTAAGGATCATATCAACACCAGGGTTCCATACCTTCTCCACAGCTCGGGATATTCTTAACCATGAAGCATGTTATAAGTCTGCTGCTATGCCGAGCTCAAAATGGATGTAACGCTCGTGCTTCAAAGTTGGTGGCATGGCACTGCATCCGAGATGCGAGGATAGGCTCCCCTAAATCTATGCTTACCAGCTTTAGTGGACTTCAGTAAGGGTCGCAGAACGTTCAACACGATGTTGTTCTCGGGTCTCCTTACTATCTTATGTTACTTGTTGCCATATGGGCAAGGGTTAAATATACCATCACGCGATGTAGGCTCTGGGGTTGGGCCTAGAGGCCCCTTAGAGGGACTGGTAAGGAAAGACGTCGAACTCATCTCTTGCCATTGCTTAAATTCGACTAGGTTACGTGGGATAAGTACTCTATGATAATTCGAGGAGAACGGTTGTTCATATTCTCAGGAGAGTTCCACCCCTGGCGCCTGCCGAGCCCAGGTTTGTGGTTGGACATCTTTCAGAAGATCAAAGCCCTAGGTTTCAACGCGGTATCGTTTTATACCTATTGGGGTCTTGTGGAAGGCTCACAGGGACAAGTACGTTTTGACGGAGTGTTTGCACTTGACGAATTCTTCAAAGCTGCCGCAGAAGCAGGCATCTATCTGATCGCCCGACCCGGCCCGTATATCAACGCCGAAACGGCCTTGGGAGGCTTCCCGGGTTGGACGGCGCGGATCAAAGCCCCTCTTCGGGGGAGTGACCCGGAATTTGTTAACTCAACCGAACTCTACGCCGAAGCTGTGGGCAAGTTGATTGCTGATGCTCAAATTATAAATGGCGGCCCGGTTGTGATGTTGCAGTCCGAGAACGAATACGACACATGGCCAGATGTCAACAATACCGATTTTCCAGCTCAGACAAACAGCGACTACATGGAACATGTCAAGCAGCAATTCAAGAAAGCCGGAAATGTGGTCCCGCAGATGGTCAACGACCATCTTTATCAAGGGAATTGGGCGCCAGGTAGTGGGATGGGCGAAATAGACCGTGGGTATTATATCCAGGCTTGGTTTATGATTCACAGCTGATCATTTATTGTAGTGTATGGTATAGACGCATATCCTCTTCGATATGACTGTGAGTACCACGAATATCCTATTATTGTATTTGTCTTCTAATAGTATAATAGGCGCACATCCTGACGTCTGGCCCAAGATTCGATGGCCGGAGAACTGGCAGACTATGCACCAAAAATATAGCCCCAATACTCCCTTCTTCATAGCCGAATTTCAAGGGGGTTCTGGAACTGGCTTTGGGAGCGTTAGTGCAGATGCATGCAACGCGCTCATCAACCAGGAAGCAGTCCGTGTCTTGTGGAAGAACAACTACAGCTTTGCCATCAAGATCTTTAACGTGTACATGGTTGGTGGCCATTCGCTCTCCTGCATCATGACGTATTAAACTAAATCTCGTGCAGACGTATGGAGGAACGAACTGGGGTAACTTGGGGTATAGAGGCGGCGATAGTTCGTACGACTATGGTGCGGCCATCAAGGAGAATCGTCACATATGGCGGGAGAAATATTCAGAGGAGAAGCTGGAAGCCAATTTCTTCAAAGTGTCCCCTGCATACTTGACTGCGGTACCAGGGAATGCGTCAAATGGATCCTACGTCTCGACTGAGGAGATCGCCACTACGCCATTATTCGGAACTGACTCCACCACCAACTTTTACATCATTCGCCATGCCGATTGGACGTCCACAAACACGGCAACCTATAAGCTCATCGTGCCGACAAGCGCCGGCAACATATCGATACCCCAACTTGGCGGGGAGCTAGTGTTGACCAGAAGGGATTCAAAGATCCATTTGACCGACTACGACGTCGGTGGAATAAACTTGATTTACTGCACCGCGGAGATATTCACATGGGCCCAAGACGGGCTAGGCAAGAGAACACTGATCCTTTACGGCGGAGCTGGGGAAACCCATGAATTCGCTATTGGTCTAACAAACTTGGCTACAAGATCTGCCCAGACGAGTCCCAACGATACCACCGTGAAGACCAAATTGTTGGATTCGAATACGCTAGTGGTCCAATGGGAAGTTTCTGTAGAAAGAAAGATCCTGAGACTTGGAGACGAACTGGAGGTTCTCTTGTTGTGGCGCAATGACGCTTACACCTATTGGGTCACGGAACTACCAGCAGAAGCCCCAATCGCGAATTATTCTTCTCCGTCTAAATCCACCGTCGTCGTGAAGGGTCCTTATCTGATCCGTACGGCAGTCCTCGATGGGGAAGTACTTCGTCTTACTGGAGATATTAACGGCACGACCGACATCGAGTTAATCCACGAACCTTCTGGTAAAGTGAAAGCTTTGTCGTTTAACAACAGAGATCTTGGCGCGAAGCATAACGGAGACGGAAAACTTGCCGCGCAATTGGAATTCCAAGCTCCCAATGTTACTCTACCCGACTTGATTTCCTTGGAGTGGAAATATATCGATTCCCTTCCTGAGATCCAGGCCTCCTACGACGATTCGAAATGGGTCAAATGCGATAATCCGTCGACTAATAACCCTCAACCCCTACTTACCCCGACATCCCTTTATGCGAGCGACTATGGCTTTCATAGCGGTTCACTTATATATCGTGGCCATTTCACGGCCAGGGGAGACGAGTCGAGTTTACTCCTCAACCTAACAGGTGGGAACGACTTTGGCTACTCACTATGGCTTAATGATGAGTTCGTTACATCATGGGACGGAGCAGACGGTGGATCCACACACAACGACACCATCTCACTAACATCCCACTCTCTCGAGGCCGGCACGTCCTACGTCTTCACGGTATTGATCGACCACATGGGACAGGATGAAGAAGCGCCTGGGACGGACGCTATTAAGGCACCGATGGGAATTATCAACTTCGACTTGGACGGACACGAGAAGTCGGATGTGACGTGGAAGATGACGGGAAACCTCGGCGGCGAATCGTACTATGACCTCGCGCGGGGCCCTCGTAACGAAGGCGGCATGTTCGCTGAAAGACAAGGATACCATCAACCAGAGCCACCGAGCGAGGACTGGCAATCTTCGAACCCCGTCACAGAGGGCATACGTTCGGCAGGTGTCGGGTTCTTCACGACGACTTTCTCGCTCGATGTGCCCGCAGGCTACGATGTGCCGCTAAGTTTCGTATTCGCCAACTCTTCCGCCGGCGCCGGCCGTCATCGATGCCAGCTCTTCGTCAACGGTTGGCAGTTCGGAAAATACGTGGCTAACCTAGGGCCCCAGACCGTGTTCCCGGTGCCGGAAGGTGTGCTCAACCACAACGGTGTGAATACCGTGGCGCTTACGCTGTGGTCGCTCGACGAGGCTGGTGCTAGGCTTGATAGCTTTGCGCTCGAGGCTGAGATGCCATTGTGGTCTGGGTACAGGAAGCCGTGGCTGGCCCCCCAGCCGGCGTGGCAGGAACGCCAAGGGGCGTATTAGAGCACATGGCATGGGTATATCTGTACTTCGTGAATCGCACTTTGTTGTGGGTATTAGACTTGGGTTCATCGGATGATCGATTCGGTGTGAGATGCAGCTAGAACACCTCGGAATGGTATTGTAAGCAAATAATAGACCACGTTGCTGCTCTCGAGCCGGACGCCTTACGATCGCCTCGCCGTTGCCTCGTCGCTTGTCTCTTAAGAAGTGACTTGTCGTATCCGTGAATAGATACCGGCTCTATTCAACCCTGCTGATATGTACCTATCTTCGTAGCACAATGCTGCCCAACGTTCAAGGGCCAAAAGCCTAAAGGAGCCATTTTTGATCGACCGTGAATTTTGGTTAAGCAGCACCGAGTACCTACCTTGCACACTGCCACATCACCTCCCCTGAACAAGTGATGTTATGGTTTCGCCAACCCACTTTTCGGCTTGCTTGATCCCTCCGGGGTTTCCAATTTCGACCCTCAAATGTACCCTTACACAATAGCTACCTACGCAGGCAAGTGGTAGGCGTTCGTGGTTAGTTATTGTAAGCCCAACACCATGTTTGACCCTAGGAAGCTTCAGGGATAGTCTATGAGAACCCTGCCGCGTGCGCGTTGCCTGCTGGTCCCATCCGCACAGACGATACGTAGACAAAAACAGGGCAGGTAAATATTTGGTAGCGGGTCGATATCTGAGCCCGCCCACTTTCACGCTCTAAAGCTCGGGCCGGCGCCATGGTGTTTCAATCCACCTCGGGGAGCCCTACGACCAGAAGATATATCAAAGGGGTTGACCCGAGAACTTGGCTCATCTAACAAGGCACTTTAGATCTCCGGTAAGGATAAACAAAGGTAACGTAGTGTATTCCTAACTAACCATTGCTTAAACATATAATTAGTTAGTACATATCATACAAGTATGATATGTATGTTTTTTCGAATGTTTCATTGAGGACCTTGACTATTCAAAGCGATGTCCTAAACTTAGAATAGCTACACGTTAATAGCATGACTTTTAGGTCGTACTCGGCTAGGAGTGTATGATCTCCTTGTATGTAGTCATTTGTCGTATTCAGCTCCCCGTTGTACAACTGCGGAATTTTTTTAAGATTTCTCACACCGATCTTTCCTTTGATATGCATCTGTATCACCAGGATTTTATCGGGTCTAAGTATATAAAATCTTACCGACTCACGTAAACTTTGAAGTCGCACTATGCGGGCCGGGGGCTTAAATATAAAGGGATGGCTTGTAGTAAATTCCTTTACAGCTTGATGGCCCCCCTGGTGATCTTTTTTGTACCAGCTCGGAAGGACAGATATTTGTTTTTGTAAAACTGGCTCTCGGGTTTATCTATGCCCAAGTGTCCGAGTTTTGCTCGTACTATTGTATGGATCTTAATTGGTGTACTAAATCAAGAAAATCTGCCGAGTCTTCGCTGACTACATTTATATATATATAGGTACTTAAAGATCTTTAGATTTATATAAACACAACTTTCCGTGTTGATACGGTTTTTCTAGCTCGGGCCAACTATAGGTAGTGGCTTAATTCGTGGACTTTTTTAAGTAGTCTTTTAGATAGTTTGTGCCATCGTTGTTTAAAGGTTAAAATTACGTTACAACTTCATGTTTTCTCATAATGCTCATCAAATATCGAATGATCATGTGTAATCTGGTTGCCTCGCTTAATCAAAGCTTCCTCCGTTAGGCTAGACTTAAAGGTCATGGATGTCCTGGAATTGATACCCAACGAAGGGCCGTGCTACGCCACTTCACGCGTACCATTTTCTTGGTATCTTCAATAATTAATGCCGCGCGGTATTGCAAGTCCAGCTTAGCTTAGGAAAGGTAACGGCTTGTCGTATTAAGTTGAACAAAGGTTGGTTCTAATAGGATGATCAATGGATAGATAGTAGTTTTAACAACGAAGGAACAATATGCATGTGATTATTTCTTCATTTAGCTAACCATTCAACCCTAAACCGAAACACTTACCCCAGATAGTCTGGGGCAAGACTCCTCCAAGGGATCCAGTCAACGTATTATGTTGCTAGCCAGTGGTATTAGAAATAAGGACACCTTGAGACTAACGACGTTTTAACGGAGCAGGTAATACCCCTACTGGGTTAATAAGAGTCGAGTTGGTTCATACACGTTGCCAAAAATTGCTGCAATGTACTTAGACTTTGTAAGGTTATGCTTTATAATCAAAGTCAAGTACCCCATTCTTACTTAGCAATACCTACTGCATAATCATGTTCGATATCGGGGCCAGATGAACATTTGCTTGTCTAATCTTAGGTTGCCACGTCATGTATTTGGAACTACCCTACAAAGCACTTGCGGGCTCGATATTTGAGATAGCTTGACAATGTGTTATCTTGAAAAGGAAAAGTACCTAGGCATTCAACTATTTAACATTGCTACATGTTACAGAAACTACAAGTGCCTTGTGGTTGTAACGGAATGTCCAATCTACTTTATATACATACTTAAAAAGATCGTATAAGTTAATTATAAGTTTGCATACCACTACTGTAAAATACTTCGTATTATATTGTTAAAAAAAGGGTTTAAAAGTATATGAAAGGTACTTAACAGATCTCGTTTTTTCCCCTATCATTTAATTTTTTCAATTTTCTTTTTTTCAATACGATGCTTGTATCAATAAAGTATTGCTGGCCCTGTGCTACAGTACGTAACGCCGCGTGATAATATCTTGATGGTATTACTATCTAACCAGAGCAAATCATTCAAGTAATAAACCCGGGCAAGCTTTCGGGCTTAGAATGGCGGGAAATACCCCTTAACACAAGACGTCTTGCTTAAGGATGCCTCTCCGAGGCATGCACTGTTCTTAATGGATAGGAGACGAACCGGACGCCACACAGTATCTAGGAGGAAGTAAGAATGGAGCCTATCAACCCGTACCGATCCCGCTTTCGCTAAATGGCTTGTAAAGATGACCACGTCGTGATACCTACGGCTGACTAAGCGGGGATATATTACATACCCAGCTATTAAGCCTCTTCAGGGGGGAATATTTGCGAAAGGCATTTTGCTTCTAACCCCTCCCCCCCTTTTTTTTAATAGTGGCAAAACTCCAATTAAAAAAACCTGTTATATTCTTCTGATAAATCTTTGTTTAAATAATAAGATAGTGGGGTGCTATAAGAACTAAGTTATACGTCGACTCTAAAAAAACAGCAGGAAATAGTGTCCGTGATAACTTTCTGAGCGCCATTGCTTATTTCATAATACTCCTCCTACGTGTTGGTATTAGTTTGCGGTCAATGATAAGGGTGCTAATGGCATATTCGACATTGTAACCCTCCCGCAGCAGCTGGGTGCAGATGACTGCCTTTTTGTGTGTAACGGCCGAATGTAACCGTAACAGCAATCAGCCTCGTCCGGGCCACAAGTCGAATCGCCGGAATCCTAGCCACTTAAACGAGGCTGTCTACGCCGTACAGTTTTCCGAGCTGGGGAACGTAATACCGAGGTGCCACTAACACCAGGGTTACAGTAGCACTCCTCAAGGGAGGATGATAAGAAATGCTATAACTAGCCCGACCGCTGCGGCGCTTCCGAAAGGATTCGTGTGATCAGTCACGAAAGCGATATTCTGACCGACGTCCCGCTCACCGGTGAATTAGATGTGTGTGTGAATTTAGAAGAGATTGGCCTGGTTGAGCGGAACGCGCATACGTACCTGCAGGTCGACCGGAAAGTTAAACACATGGACGGCAATTAATGGCGCGAAAAATAATCAGGGGATTGCCACTACTGACGCAGCTCAGCTTATGTACACTAGAGAAAACACTGAATAATTCGCGCTCTTCGACAGCGAGTTGTCTGAACTTGAACGACGACTATGACGTAGCATTATCGTGCGCGAAGAAACGAAACCCATATGAGAAATAGATGAATATTAGATTAAGCTCATAAACGAACAATATTATGTTACCCCGGAGAGCCTCGTAGCCGGGCTCCGACTCGGTTGAGCCAATCGGGACGACGAGAATGACGACTTCCTAAACAGGAAGCCTCTAGAACGATACTCGGTCTAAAGAACTGAGAAAATAACAGATAGATACCCACGTAAACTTGAAATATACAAGTTGAATATACCTGAGAGATAGGCGCTGGGGAACGTTTCAGTACTGCTCGTAATAGACGCCGCCATGTGGCTAGCTGGCGTCAGAGAGATTATTCATACAGGGTCTGGTCTCTTTGGTCGTTTAGTGCGCTTCAAACCTGAAAGACTTCTATTCGAGGTCTTGAAGCTGTGAAAGAATCCTTGGGTTTTCACGAGGGCTCGGCTCTTTTGAAGAAGGAAAAAGTAAGGCAGTCCGGTGTGAGCACTTGCGCGCGCGTAGTGCACATGGCTTTTAATCGAATGTGGAGTTGCTCTATACCTATGGTAGTTGTTATCTTTTTAGGCCTTTTCTCGTCAAGCGAGCCCTGGAGCGTGCTGTATGTAGATCGGTGAAGGACTTGTCGCAGGAAAGGGCGGGGAATAAACTCAATAGAGACTTTTAACTTTCAGCCGGATGCGACCCCTCTATGAGGCCTCTATGAGGGATTCTTAATTCGACCCCAGGCATAAAATTGCGTCAGGTCCCTCATGACACTAAGGCATATGAACCCCATTGTCGCTAGCCTTCCTATCTGTGAGGAGGTCACGGGAGGGGATTGTTGTGGTGATGCTTGCGCTTTGCATTCTAGCCAATAGTTGGTGTCTGGGTATAAGAAAAGCGCTGTAGGTAAGCAGGTCACACGACCTTCAACATCCCCCGCAGGAGAGCAGATCTTTAAAGCCGTAGATGAGGAAAAAATCTACAAAAGGAAATGAAAAGTTTCGATGGCGCAATGGGAATAGAAAATGCTTAACGGCGCGCAGACAGAAAACGGCAGCTGGCCTAGGGAGGGGGCTAACTAAACATACCTACCTCCTAACATTCCTACCTAGGCCGGTAAGCTGCTCTGATCTTACAGCACTTCTAATGGGGAGTTTCCGTATGGCCAAAACCTAGCGCATCGAATTTGACACTTTTCAGTCTTCCTCGCAAAGCATGGCGTAGCCGTCCAGTGGACCAGCGACCGCAGTAGCACCGTCCACCGCTCCCAAAAATCGGTAGGTTATTAAATCTAAGATAGCGGTGTGCGAAGAGTGCTGAAAGTAGGCGGCATATCAAGTGCGATGTGCGATGTTCGTAGAGCCCGTGTTGATCCACCGGAGTCTAACTAGACTTTCTTAAGGAATGCTGCGCTTTTGGTAGGAACATTGCGCTCCTAAGAGTGTCGAAATAGATAATTTGTACTATGAAAACGAGTCGGATGATGATTAAGTGCCGAGTAATAGCTGGGCACAAAGCGACCGTGGATCTTGCGAGTTAGTGACGACATCTAAGTCAAGTGACAAGGGATGGTTATGATCGGTGATGCTCCCTGGGAAAGAGTTTGACTGTGTGTCCTATTTTCGCTGTTGCATCGCTATTCTCCGCTGGGATAAGTACTCCGTCAAATTCAGATACTGAATGCGGAAAAGGATCTGTC